ATGAACGTGACCTGTGGATCGTGTACTCCATCGCCATATTTCTAGCCACGGTGGGCGTAATTGCTGGTGGGTTCGCGGTAAATGAGAATGGAGGTGTATTGAGGAACACGCGGTTCTCGAGCGTGGTGGCGGCGACGAGAGGCCCAGCGTTGGAGAAGGTCAACTGGGAAGGTCCTGATAGAGACAGAGGCGATGTACCCAAGGATGTGAAAAAGCTGAAGCTGGGATACGGTGTGATGGGTCAGAATGTTGGGGACGGAATGGGTCCGGATGGAGGAAGATACCCCCGCGCAAGAGATAGCATGCTCTGGTCGCCGAGCGAGATTAGGTGCGGATTTGGATTGGAGGGTGATGTAAACCAGAGGAGGAGGGAAGGATCTTTATTCCATCGCTAGCGAGCGTTATTTTTTCAACAAATAGATTAATAATTATTCCCGTTCACGTCTAACGATTAGAGGGCGATCTCAGTATCTGAAGCGATACGAGTTAGAACTTAGTGCAGAACCAAGTCATCCATGGGACATCCCTTATCTACCGAGGACGTCTTAGTCTTCTCAGTGATGATTTGACGGGTCAACTCCATCAGTTGATCAGCCAGAGCGTCGTCCTGAGCAAGCTTACTGCCCGGCTCAGGAATCGCGGGAGGGCATATGTATTGGCCAGATTCCTTCGTGGCGGCCGCCGCATACACCATCGACACAGCACCCTCCCATTGTGACTTCTTGAAAGGCTCCATCCCAACTGCCATAGCGTAGCCTCCAAGAGGGTACCTATATTGCGTCAGTACTTAGTTTTGGGATATGTGACGATTGGGGTTGTAACTCACGGCTCGAAAATCTCCTCCTTACTCATCTTGGTGCTCACGAACCCAGGATGAGTGGCGTTCATCAAAACGTTCGGGTGCCCATTCTGCGTGACTTTCCGGTTGAAGTACCTCGCGTACAGAATACCTGCGAGCTTACTCCGGCCATACTGACCGTTGGGGCCCAGGTCGGTGTTCAGCTCCTCCAGGCTCTCAAACTTGCAGTCGCTTGGGGTAGCCTGATGCGCATTGCTAGCTTGGTTCGCAATTCTCACAACATCACCCTTCTCCGCCGTCTGCTTGATGAGAGGCAGTAAATGCGACGTAAGAATGACATGTCCCATGTGATTTACGGCCATGTGACGGTCGACGCCGTAGTCAGTGAGCTGGTAGGTCATGATGCCCCTCGCGGCATTATTCACCAAAATATCAAGACGCTCCGTGTCGTTCTTGATCTTCTCCGCTACCTCCTTGACGCGCTTCCAGTCACCCATGTCGCACTGAAACCATTTCGTGCGCTCGGCCTTGTCGGCACCGAGGTCTTTCGCGATGGCATCCTTGGCGCCGTCAACAACGTCCTTGGAGACGGAGAGGATGTAAATCTTGGAGATGTTATGCTTGAGGAGGGTGTACGTGACGCCGTAGCCGATGCCCTCGCTGCCGCCGGTGACGACGGCTACCTTGCCTGACTGGTCGGGACATTCGTCTAAGCTGAATTGGTGAGTTCCCAGCTTTGAGGCTGCTCCACCGAAGTTCTCGGCGATGGTGTTCTGACGATCTTGTCAATCCTCGTTCAATACCCGGGGCCACTAGTGAATACTAACCTTGATGGCATCCATGACTGCAGGGAATCTGAGAGTTTTTGTTGATCTGTAGCCCCGAGAGTAGACAGAAGGCGAGTAAGTTTGAGACCCAACAAGCAAGACCTTGGGGCGAGATGATACTAAAAACCAATTTCGCATCACCACACCGGTTGGAACTCGCTTGCAAATCATTGGCGCCTATCAGAATAGAATGATTTCATCCGTCTGTCACTGGATAAAACTCTTGGGCCTCTCTTGCTTCTGATTGCTTATATGGGAAAGTGGTTTGAGCACTATGAATCACCATCATGTCACTGTCTCATCGGTGATCGCAGCCGCACAGGGCTGCTTGATGACGCGCTGATGTCTGCGTTGGCGCATCCGGGCTGGCGGCTGGCGGCTGCATTCCGGGGCAAAAGCTCCCCAGAGAGACTAAGCCCTACATTTCAGCGCTGTGGAATACAGTTGAAAATTTCGCTGAGACTTGACCGAGCAATTTCTTCTAGGTATGTTATACGACTACCTAGTGCTAACTATACTTTAACTAGCTGAGGTGTCGTAATAGCTGCGTAGTAGTTGCATGGAAGACGAGTGCCACCCTGTACATCGAAGCGTCGCCAGCCTGGCCTTTTTAACCTCACGACGACCTGCCAACTCTTTCTTGTGCGCAGGAAGTTTCTCGTAGCCGAATTTGCAAGCAGAAGTCCCGGTGCTTTTCATAAAATCTCACAGCGAAGGCCGAATCAAGCAGTCAAATGCAGAAAGTCGCCAGAAGGATTGCGCAATCATCCGATGGCCGGAATAAGGTATGTTGCCGTTGAATCGTTCAATGGCTTCATTTCGCCTCCAGGTCTTGTGCTGTATGAAGGCACCAAGAATTGGGCCTGTCCAATGAGAAGCAAATAATGACGACTTCCCTTAGGGGACTGAGTTTCCTATCGTGTTGTTAAGCCATTGACTTTCTGTAAATTTAGATCAACACATATGAATCAAGGAAGGCAGTGGCGATTCTAGTATCGGGCTACGTTGATGTCAGCCAACATACTCAGAATAGTCTCAATCGGGGACATCCAGGTGGATGGGTGAAAGTATCAATGGTACAAACGCATCGTCACAAAGTCGGTCCTCTTTATGGCAAATGAGTGCAGTGCTGCTGAGGACTACCTCCTCGGCTGCCCCTTGGGACGACTATTAGCTGCGAAACCTTAGAAGAGACTGATGCTTCGCTGAAGCTAGATGGATCTTGATATCAGGGATACCATTGCATTGAGGTTATATTACAAGGGGTGAATGATTTATCTTGGTCGCCTAGAATCGCACCCAAAGTGTTAACAGATATCGATGCTTCATGAATCCAGCCACTCATATCCAAGTCAACCATGGGCACTCGAAGAAATACGTGCTTGAAGTACTCTGAACTTGCGCCTTGCACGTGATTATGTGTCATTATACCTTACTTCGAATTGCAGTAGCACAAAGTGCCAGGATTGTGTTACGAAGACAGAACATGTAGTTTTCGTTAGAGATATTAGCCCTAGTTCATGCTGGTGTTCCCTCAATTTGAGAACAGTAGTCTTCTCACCTTTCGGGATGATACATTTCCAAGGCGAGAGAGAGAGTGGCATTCATGTACCATGAATGAACAAAAGCAATATGTTCTCGAGATGAGAGCTCATGCAGATAGAACTTACCATGTAATAAACTTTTATGTGATCGCTAACCACTTTCGATTGCCAAGTGACACCCTCTATCTAGTCGCCGAGAAGTATATTCCAAGTAGCTATTCGCCTTTACGTCGGCGCGAGGTCCTCGACCACTGGGTACCTTGATCAGTCATCACATAATGAAGTCACATATCGCATCAAATCTGAAAATAGACCCGAAATACGCGTTCACAAAGTTTCGCAATCGCAACGAAGGATGACGAGCAACTCGATTGTGAAGGTCCATCGCACCAACTAGATTCACGGAGCACGAGGATATCCCAAAACTACTACAAATGTGACTTCACTCCGGAATCCAGGTTGCAACCGACTTTACCGCGACCACTCGTTGAGAGTTTGACAACTTTAGCGTCCATCGATCGCGGGCAGAGAATCGACGGGGTGTAGTAGGGCCACCAACGACTCCAGGACAAACATCAGGCGACTAGCTGTGCTTGGACCTCGCTTTCGACTTGGCTGATCACTCGCAAATCGGTTATTGTTGCCAGGCTGCAAGTCCCTCGTGCGAACTTGAATGCCAGCGTCCGTATCACTGGGTGGTTGTAATTGTAACCGCGATAACGAGGGAAGAAGCAAACAACTCTGAGATTGATATCTCTTGGAGACACAGTCCTGGCTATTGCGAAATGTTGTGGCGTCTCCATGACATGCCAACGGCTTCAGTGTAACCTCCACAGGGGTGTACCGTGTTACAAGTGGTGGTATTGCCATGTACGCCACGAAGCTTCTTAGCGACGGGACGTCATTTCGATCCCCCAGTATGTATAAGGTTTGGGAGCGGCCGGCTTTAGCAGAACAGCTGGTGCCGTCTTAGGGAATAGGGGAAGCGAAGTAAGAGAGTCATGGTTGGAAGCAACCCCGCAAGGTGCGACTATTTGAGTACTGGTATTATTAGAAGACAAGGCGACCAGATTTGGTAACGTCGACATCCCACCTCTGTGGTTTACAAAGAGCGACAGTCATGTTAGAACTGGGGACGTATGACTGGAAGCACGCCATAGCATTCATGATTTGCAAACGGCGAGCGACAGACATGCTCCACACCCATAATTTAGCTCCCAAGGGAATCTCACTGAGGGCAAGACTCAAACTTTGTCTTCCTGTGGACCATGTGGTCAGCTTCTCTGGACTGGAGCCCTGAGACAGTAGCAACCCGTCCCGGGATTCCGGAGATTTGACAACTTTGACAGCGGCAAAGGGGAGTCACAATCGCTAACCCTGCCCACCGAAAAAAGCCGTTCCCGAACGAACACCGCGACATTACCGAGCCTACCTAGGCAAAGCGCGCCAGGACGGCACGGCTGCTCACCTGGATGGACCAAGAGAGTCACACTATGGGCGACTTGCCATCTGTTAGATAATAGTTTGCTTTTAACACTGCTTCAACAAGTCTCAAGCTCTTTGGAAAGCCGTTTTTGGGTCCACATATTCCCGGTGGCAGCCCGCCTGGCCCGGCATCTAAGCCTCTTTGGGAGTTTCTGTTACTAAATATGACGTGGGGCCTCCCCAGTCAACACCAAAGCGAACAGTCAGCCGGTCGTTGTAGATGCTGAATCTCCGCGGCACTAATGGCCGTTAAAGCTGATGCGAGATCCCCAGATCCCGTGTCGAGTTTGGGATGGGATCGAATTGGATGAAATGTGAATGGGCCGTGTTGCTGTCACTTGTCAACTCGTCCCTTGTTTGGTCCAGTCTGTTCTCACCACGCTGCTGTGTAACGTTTTTTTTCTTACACGATACCACCATTGCCTGTGCGTGGCTTGTGCTGTCATTTCAAACGGAAGTTAGCATTCTCATCGACAACTATTGCCGAAGAATACGTGAGTACATTCAAGTTCAAGTTGTCAAATGGACGAAAGAAAGGTTGCTGAAAAGAAGTAGAAAATACTAGCCCTCCAACTCTGCATTATCCTGAAAGAGCAACTCGTGTTCTGTCCCCTGGCATAGTGGCTCCGCATCCCCATACTATCCAGTCCTACCCCGGACTTGGCGCAACGACGATCACATAATACCCGATGTTGCGCTGCAACCCAAGGAATTGGGACTTCGACATTGATCGATTCCTCAATCCCTTTGTTCCACCACCTCCTTGGAAATATCTACCATATCCTATCTCTCACTTCTTTGGCTACCGCAAGTCGAAGCCACAGAATGTTGGCAACCTCGTTTCGATCTTCTGGGCCTGTGTTGGCGTCTTTTGCGGCGTCGCCGTAGTCTCCATCGTCTCCCGCCAGATACCGTCCTTCAGAGACCATGGTGCGCCCATTATTGTGGGCAGTTTTGTAAGTATATCCCCCCTTTCATCTCGAAATCTGCGCACATTGCCTGTATCGACACCTTCTACACACCGAAAATTGTTACGGAGCAGCACCGTCAGGGGGTGGTGGGTGATAGAGGCTCGGACCTCAACTCCCTCATCCCGTTTCATAAACCTCTCGGGTGACGACACCGACCGACCACTGCCACACCAGCACACCGGCACCTCACCGGCCAAGAAGTGACGCTCAGTAACGTAACAGACTGGCTGACTCGTTTTCTCTTCCCGATACAGGGCGCAGCCGCCGTTTTAGAGTTCTACTCGATCGAATCGCCCCTCTCTCAGCCCCGTAATTCAGTCTTCGGCCAACTCCTCTCCGCCGTCGTAGGGGTAGCGATCTGCAAGCTGTTCCAGCTGAGCCCGCACTTTGATTCCATTCGCTGGCTGGGAGGAGCCTTGTCATGCGCCTTGGCGACGACCGTAATGGCGCTTACGAAGACGGTTCACCCCCCTGCTGGCGCGACGGCACTGCTCGCCGTCGTCGATGACGGTGTCGTACACTTGGGATGGTTCTTGGTGCCTATTATGCTCCTCGGCTGTGCCTTGATGCTGGTCGTCGCATTACTCATTAATAATATTCAGCGGCGCTTCCCACAGTATTGGTGGTCGCCCGAGGATGTTCGGCTGCACCGCGTGCCTTGGAGGCGCCATGTGGGCGATGTGGAAAGCAAAAAGGAACCAAAACCCGATGAGGTTGATGGGCGGAGTAGGAGTGATTCTACAGTGAGGGAAGATGCGGTACTGATTATGAGACCTGGAGAAGTGCTTGTTCCAGAACACATGTTCATCACACCCGAGGAAAAACTGTTCTTAGAAGAATTGAGTAATCGGTTGTGAACCGTATTCAATAGCGATCTATATAGTTGCGAGGCTATGAAACCAAAGCATACTGTTTCGTAAGAGTAGTTTCCTAAGAAAACCCAGATCTATGTTCATTTCCCAGCACGAAGTGAGTGTTAGCTGTCAAGCGGCACCCCTTTACTCTGGTTTCTCATCATGAGAAAATATGTTCTCGTCATTTTGCCAGGAGATAGTACTTCCTGGAGACACGTTGCAAATCATTATCAAAAATCATCATTATCCACATCAAATTCTCCCTCATTATCGTGCCGGTTCTGTCGTGTTTCTTTGTCGGTAATTGTCTGGTTTCAACCTTGCTTAGCAGACTTTGTGCGAGACATGCGCAATTCTGCCAGCTTTGCGGGGTTCTGAGTAGGATCATTCTCAGGGTCACCGTCAGCACCGGGGTTGGCCATCTCGTACTCCAAGGTCTTAATGAACTTGTAGAAGACGACAGCAATGATTGTGCCAAGGAAAGGCCCGACCCCTAAGACAATCAAGATTAGCTTTCCGCTAGTCATGAGGGAGAAGAAGTCAAAAAGACAAGACTTACAGTAAATCCAGTGTTCAGGGTCGAAGGTTGCCGTGATGACGCAGGGTCCAAAGCTTCGTGCCGGGTTGAGCGAACCACCCGTGAACTGAACACCAACCAACTCGGCGATAAAGAGCGTCAGGCCAATACCGACAGGAGCAATGAAAGTGGCTCTGTGCTTCTCCTTGGCGAGCATGAAGATAGTGAAAACCAGTTCGGCCGTCAAGATGGCTTCGATGAAAACACCTTGGACCAGTGAAGCACCGCCGCCTAGTGTCGTACGAACGTTGAAGTTCTCGGGGAACAGAAAGCGGACTATGACTGATGCAAGCATGCCACCCAAGATTTGAGCAACGAACAAGCAAGCAGCACGGGATGCGGGGATGGCCTTGACAAGGAGCATGCCGAGCGTAACAGCTGGGTTGAACAAGCCGCCACTGATACGGAAGAAGACCCAGACATTAACCATGAGAGAGAAGCCGAAGATAATGGAGATGTAGAGAAGAGTGCCGGTGTTGAATCCCGTGGAAGCTCCGGTGGTAGAGTTGCTGTCTGAAGGATTGCTGGAGTTGTTGGAAGCGGACTTGATATTGGCAACCTCTGTGCCAGCGAAGGCGAAGAACAAGAACATGGTGGTGCCGACGAGCTCGCCGAGGCTTGCGACAAAGTGGTTCTTCAAGTCCGAGTTCATCCACTGAGTGAGAGGCAGACGCATAACCTGGGCCTTCTCTTCTCTGGACAGGTTGTGCCAGTCAATGCGAGCCTGTTCGCCGTTGGTGCTGCGAACAGCGACACCGCTGCGCGGGTATCCCGCCATCTCCTCGTCGTACATCCTGCGAGAGGGCGGTCTGCCACCGTAGTCACCGGGCTCGTAGGAGCGAGTCTCCTCGTAATAATCTTTGGTTTCCGTCTGGGGGTCGTAGTTGAAGTACGGTTGAGGACGATTCAGGTGCGCGCGGGGAGGCCGCGTTCGAGGTGCACGACCTCCGCTGTAGTCTGGATGTCGGTCGTTTGTTCCCCAATAGCGATCCGTTTCCGAATCGTCGTCGTAGTCACCGAAACGGGCGCTGTCCTTCAGTGGACGTGTGGACTTTGTAGAGACACCAGTGGGCAAGGGGTCGTCTACTGATTCCCTCTGCCGTGTCTGGGTGTTTGTGCGACGGAGAGGGACTGAACGTGAGCCGCCTCTTGAAGGTTGTTGGGAGTGTGATGGTACAAATCTTGGTGATTGGATGGGGTTCTCGTCGTCAGAAAAGGAGTTTGGATCGACTGCTGTTGCTGGTGATACTGGAGAGGGTTCACCCTCAGGTGCCTTGAGTGTTCCTGTCTGCTGGGCTGACATGATTTGATCGAAGTCGCGTGTCAAGCGCAGAGACGAGGAAGGAAGTATTATAGAGCCGGGGGGGACTTGAATAGTTAAGTCCGCCGTCGTGAGAGCGTTGTTGAGAGATGTTTGACTCTCGAGTAAGCTTGAGTCTTGTCGTCTAGTCTTCGAGTGGGCTTGATGTTTGAAGGGCACCATGATCCCGTGTTCCGAAGGTGTCCGAAGGCATAATATACCTCTGCTCTCAAACTCAAATGGATGCCCAACCAGCCCTCTCTTTACCTCGACGTCACCGCATTTTTCGGTTAGTTAGGCCTTGATTTCCTTCGTCTGATCAGCCACCGACTTAGTTTCGACAAGGACCGCGGGGACATTGGATTGCGAAATAGGCAATGGTGGGATGGGGAGGTTCGACAAGGGACCGTTGAGCCTCCATTGTCCTCTCAAAGTGCTCCCAGAGTGCTCTGCCTGCCTCTGGCTCGCGGGGGTCACCGATCCCACGGACGTGAGTGGTCGGCACACCGGGCAGTGCGGAGGGCGGAAGTCATGGATAACCCCAGAGCCGATCTCATGCACGCGAATCTTGCGGCCGGGTAAGGCTTGCTGGCGTGCCCCGGCGAGAGCGAGGGATATGGGGGGAAGCTGAAGCCGAGATCCCGGACGGGTGACGTCAAAATCAGACTGAAATTGATGGGATCACATCAACCCAAGTGTGTAGGAGCTGAAGGGACGGGGTGAAACGAGGTCCAATTTTGAGGCAAATGAGGCATTGCGGCGTCTGTGTGGTTGGGGTCTTGAGTTATAAAACCGGGCGTTAACATGGGCTCAGAGCTGGGATCATCGACGTTTAAACTCAGGAGACCCAAGGCGCTAGTGCACCACCTTTGACACGTCGACTGCAGTACCCTTGTATGACAGCTTCACGATTGTGGCCTCTGGAGTTAGATCCCAGAAAGATCGGGAGACGCTAAGCTGCCACTTCCAGAACACCCATTAAGAACTCCAACTATTAGCTGAGGGGCTCTAGCCCAGTTTTCCTCGCCAGGACCCTGGCATTGCCGAATGAGACGAATTGAGGGCTGGGAAATACGGCGCGTCACCGGGTGTCGGGACGGACGGTACTGCTGAATCGTGAAGGGTTCAGAACCGAGGACGACGATCCATCGTCTGGGGTTTGGAAACGTCGCATCGCTCCACCATCACCACTGGGTTTCTTTGACTTTTCGGGTGGCCTTTAACCCTTGGTGCAGATGATCGCCCAACTTTAACGAAAGGTCCGGGAGGAAAATTGCGCGATATGGCGGTCTTGGCCTTGTCATTCGAAATGGGGCAGTTTTCACACGAACGTTCAGTTGAGAAGAGCCGATGGTGGTGTGGCTCGGATGAGAAGCAGACTGGATGGAGTCAAACGGAGAACCTGGGACGGTGCCCCGTGTGGCTCTATACTAGTTCTCTGTGCCTACCATCCTCTTTTGCGAGCCTCTTCCTCTCTCGGGCCACCATTTCGCACTTGCGGCCGTTGGTTCTTCTGTTCGGGTGGATTGTCAGACAACCGGCGGGAGACGGAAGAAATGACGGCAACTTTTAAGAGAGTTTACCTGTCGCAAACTAGACTTCTAGTGCAAATGGCAACTCCGTTAGATGTCTGGGCGTCAATCAGTCTGTGAAAATTACGGATTGCCAGGTTCAACGATTGCACCGTGCCACTCGCCGAGGAAATCACGGCTCCTATTTTCATTCCGTTTGCATCTCGCCGTTCAAGCTCGGAGATCCTTCTCGCGTCGCTTAATTTCGAAAAGCAGGTCGTTTGACAACCCCAAGAGTGGGAACTCCATCAATATTCTGCATCCGTTGTCTAGCATTCCATGTGCTAAGATGGTTCACCGCAACCGAAGGAAGCTCGGACACCCTTGTTCTATGCGGTCCTCCTCCATGTGGGAGCTCTGAACCCGAAATCTTTCCTAGCCGGCTGCGAAAAGTTGCGAGTTCAAGTACGTAGAGTATTACGCGGTTCCACGTCGGACATCCGATGGCCTTTTGACCACTCCCGTGCTCCCTTCGTACTCATCTGTGCGCTCCCTCCATCAGCCGTAAACCCCAGCCTGTCATCTGTCGATGAGCAGCGACGATAGGTAGACTAAGGGTATGCAATAATGAAAGGGCTGTTATGAGAGGTTGGACGTGCGAGTGCCAAGATGGTGACGGGCGCTGGCCCCCTTTCTCCAGTCTTTTCGTGACAAAGTGTGGCAGACAAACAGCTCTTCCGACTCTCATCGTGATGAATCCAAGTGGGTGACGAGAAGAGTCACGGACCAGGTTCCGATGGTATTGGCATTCTGTATGAAGTGTGGAATCCCTTCACTTCAGTTAATTCCCTCTGCAAGATAGCTGGCCTTGTGACCTGAACATGTCAGGTCTTTGCAGATGACTGCAGCATCCCCACTGATGCCACGACAATCTGCTCCATCTGCGACGAGGCGGACACAACGGTGGCAGGAAAGTTGTGTCAAACAGGCTGGGTGGTAAAAGTTCCCCCCTCTTGGCAGTCATTATTCACGATGAGTTGGCACCGCGATCCAGTGACTTTCTTCCGAGTCAATGTCGTGTGGCTGGTTTCTCAAAAGTGAGGTTGGACAACGTGCCAACAGCCTTCCGAATTAGAACGACCCAGTTGGAGTTCTGTGAGAAATTCCCCTAAAGTGGGTGATGATCTACAGATCTCGATCAAAATTGCTAGGATACCCTCTTTCAATGCGCAAGCATCCGTAACAGCCGCCTATGTTGGGTGAAAGAATGAGGTTGGAGAGGGCGGGTTCGGAAAGTCAAGTCTTCGGAGAAGTCGGCATACCCTGGCTCAAGTCTTTGGTGAAGACGTGGTACCCCTGAGTATCAGCCTCACCACCTCATGTGCCACATATGCCTGTGATTGCATGGAATCCTAAACCCAGCGGAAAGGCTCCAGATATGCAAGTACATTGATAATTCCAACGGCTGGTCCAGACCGCTAGTTGAGAAACAGTACGTTTGCAAAGATTTCTAGAATGAATTTATGGGCCACACAGTCTTACAAATTTTGGCAATCGAACATTTTTACCTGCATCGGAAGCTTGATATATCAGAAGACTGAGCCGAACAGCTATTTCGGGAGAAGTCCGGCGAGGGTTCAAGAGAGGGGGAACGGTTAGTTCCGTTCGATCTGGCTCGAGTCTACACAAGTGCTCAGGGGCGAAGTGACAACGTAAGCTCTTCCATTGGCTGTTCACCTTCAGGCCAGTGCAGGTTCCAAGAGAGATCCGGCGAAACAGATAATGTTGGGGTTAGGGCAGAGGGCTTGCATTCGTTCCAAGGAGGAAAATCACTGTCAATGTCGAAACAATGGCTCGGACTAGGTGGTTCATGCTTTCTGGGAGCTGCTAAGCTTTTAATCTTGCGATGACTCTCAGAATGTCTTATCTCATTCTCGTAAATTCATTTGAGCGCCTGGGACAAAAGTTCTGTCGAGTAAGTGGGATGGTAGATACATGAAAAATGGAAGGTTCAATGCGCTTGTTGGGAAAATTAGCTCTGGATGTCGTGTTTGTAACTTGGCTAAGCCTGAATCTTACAAAAGTCTAGTCATTCAAATTCTGTCCTTACTCGCAATGGAAAGCCAGCCTGCAAAAATCACAAAGCTAAAAGGTGAAACAACAGTGTGTTCTGTGACAATTATTCGGATCCCAAGATGACCGAACAGAAGGCTGTTTGTTGAGAAAAGCGTGCCTTGAAAGGAAACTAAAATGGAACGAGCAAGCATATCTGCAATATTGGAGAAGCCTCCAGGCTCTCGAGGAACTATGGGGAATTGATTGGGAAAGCATCTTAGTTCCGATGAAATACCAAATGCTGTCCAGAGGAGCAACTTCACCCGCCGTCGCAGGTGCAGCTCAAGCAAGCTGATGATTTGAGATGAATTTTAAAATAGAGTCGAGGCCCCTCCGCACCAGCCTCGAACAGAAAAGAAAAGCGTTGAGGGATGCCGTGAAACCTGAACGTACGCGGCATGCTCGAATAGTACAGTCCAGGCAATCCGGATCGTGCCGCCCTGTTACCGCTAAATGCTTGTTTTTGTTTTCCTTTTCTTACAGGATTTGGTATTTTGCTCCAGCCCTATGCTGTGAATGCTCAATAGCCAATCGGTTTATTTTGAACGAGCATTGAGATAGGGGTCGCAGCCCTCACTACTGAGACCAAAGCTTCCTTGACAATCTAAAATGGGCTACAGATCCTACTCCTAGCCGCTGTGATTGGAACTAAGCATGATTGTGAGTGCTCGGGGCATCTGCTTCCCGCCCATTCTTAAGGGTAGTGACACCAGGGAGGGACTTCACATGGGTAACACGCATTGCTCATGGTTTTAAGCACGCAGGACGAACCATTTTGGCTTTTTGGATTTCTGCTTCATCCAGGCTGCCACATGCGACGCAGAAAAAGTCTCCAAGAACCAAGATTCGGCCGCGAGTCTTTACTTTTTCGTACATGCCCCTTCTCGTACGAGACACCCACCACCGCGTGTCTCGGCCGTGTAAATCCTCGCCCGAAATGAAGGTTGAGGACTGCGTTTGCACTCAGACAACACCACCAAGTGAAGTTCTTGTATGTTCGAAAGAAGCCCATCATGTTAGCCAATGGCTTACATGTTGGAGTTTGGCCAAATGTCTCACCCATAACCGAATCGCAGTGCATTCTGGTGACAGCTCAACTTCAATCAGTCGGCGACTTGCTTGCCAAATTCATTCGTCTGATTTTCGGTACATAGTCGGCGCTAGATACGTTAATCGTCTTAATCTGAGAATTAAGAACGATGAACCGAACGCTAGATAGGCGCTACTATGATCCACCGATGTGGTTCGCCGTGCTGGCCCCGATCAATCCGGGGCAAACTGGAGACAACGTGGTGTAGCACCCCGAAGATGATCACGTTTTCTTCGGACCCCCACGCGTTATCCCGCCATTCGCCTTGGGGCCAGTGGGCGGCCGACCCTGGCAATTTTCCTCCAACAACGATTTTCTCCGCAGAACGATTCATTTGGACGTGTGAATAGGGATCGACAGCCGCATGGACAAGAGAACCGAATAGATTACTAGACCAATGGGGAAAGCCTTCACGTTGCGTCCGTTACGCTTTTGGTACGTTTCCGTTTCAACTGAGCAGTCATGGTCAGGTTCCGTGAAGCATGGTTGAGAAAGGCGAAGATGTCGTCTCATTCGGGGAAATAGGAAATTCCCGGCCATTCCACCTAAGAGGGCATTTTGAAAGCCTAGGGAAGCTTAGCGTTGGAGGAACACATTACCATAATGCCAAGAAATCGATGTGTCGGCCTCTATGTCCTCCTCTGATGTAGGTCTTGGCCTCATTTCAATTCGAGAGTCGAGGAGAAATAAGGAGAGATGTGGAGTTGAGAAGTCATATCATCATGCCGCTGCATTTTCCAGCGATCGGCATATAAGCGATCATCGTCCGCATGTCGTGAAACTTATGCTTAATTCCCATCGCTCCACTAAGGTCGTGAAACTTGTTCATCTTGTATATACCGTTTATCTCTTGATCCTTGTCGCGATGAAGCTGACTGGCTTTGTGTCTTGGGCCTTTCTGGCTATCGCTGCATCGGCTTCGCCCACTCCTACGAACCCTGAAGGTCATCTCTTGAACAAGAGGGCTGCTATCACGGATGCAGCAAACATTGGTTATGCCACTCAGAACGGCGGGTAAGGAGAGACAATATCAGAGTTGTTCAAAACATTTCGACTGATCCGTGAAATTTAGAACCAAGGGTGGCGCCGGAGGAACCACTACTACAGTGACGAACCTTGCTCAACTATCCGCCGCAGCCATTGCATCCGGTCCAGGAATTGTCATTGTTTCAGGTAACATTGTCGGCGCGGCAAAAGTCCAAGTCGGCTCTGATAAGACTATCGTGGGAAAGACGGGCAGCTGTGAGTGACGCGACTCACTCGAACCCCCTCAAAGCTCATGTTTTTCGATTATAGCTCTCGAGGGTATCGGCCTCACTATTCTTGGACAAAAGAACGTCGTCGTCCGCAACATGAAGATCAGCAAGGTCGAAGCAGACTACGGTGACGCCATTACCATCCAGCTATCCAAGAACGTATGGGTAGACCACTGCGATCTTTCGGCCACCCGCGACGGCGACAAGGACTTCTACGATGGGTTGACTGATCTCTCTCACGCCGCTGACTGGGTCACTATCTCCCATACGTACTTTCATGACCACTCCAAGGGCTCTCTTGTTGGCCACTCTGACAGTAATGCCGCCGAGGATACGGGAACTCTCCACGTCACTTATGCGAATAACCACTTCTATAACGTCCGTAGTCGTGGCCCCCTGTTGCGTTTCGGTACTGCCCATATTTACAACCAGTTCTACAACACAATGGATACGGGCATCAACACTCGCATGAATGCACAAGCTCTCATTCAGAGCTCCGTCTTCGAGAATGTTGGAAAGAAGGCCATCTTTAGCGAGTCTAGCAAGGAGATTGGGTAAGTGCCTCCAGCCTTTTTGGACTACCTTAAGCTGGCAGTTTTCCGTGACTAATGATCCTACTCCACAGGTATGCTGTTGCCATTGATGTTGTGCTTGGTGGTGAAAGCCAAAACACTGCGTCAGTTGGCACATTGAATGCTAACAGCCCTCCTTACTCGTACTCTCTTCTTGGATCTGCTAATGTGAAGGCTGCTGTGACCAAGGAAGCCGGACAGACCCTTGGGTTTTGAGTGGTCTCTTCTTGGATCTGCTAATGTGAAGGCTGCTGTGACCAAGGAAGCCGGACAGACCCTTGGGTTTTGAGTGGCTTACGTCGAGTTGTATTGCCAACGTTATAACGCTCATCCGTAGGGTGTGTCTATAAGAAGCTTCGAGGCGGATTGGCTTGATTGGGAAGACTCAAATGTCGTCATGTCTTCGGAGTATTGTACGTGAAATATACATCACTTTCTATCTCTTATCAATGATCATGGGGATGAACTCAAACTGGATTTGATTTAAAAAGCGGCGAAGGAATGAGTTGATCATCTGAACATTAGCTTGGTATAGATGATCTTTGCACCGAGAAGAATGCTTGTCTTAAAGCTTGGCAACTAAATCTATCTCGAGTCTCATCGGGTTTCACCTAGACATCTGGACAAGGTTGTCCAAGGATTCGCTCATATTGATCACAGACCACTACATACTACATGTACTTAATACATTTTGACCGGTCACCCCAGCCTTTGTCCCTGACGTTAAGCTTGAAATGCGAGTCATCCCCACAAGAAAGATCCAACATAAGCGACGAAATGCCCGTCGCGACGAATGGATGCATGCCCAGAGCCTATGCCAAGAGCTTTGGACAGTAGTTTTCTTGACTCAATCGCTTTAGACGACAGGTTTAAGCGCGACAAAGGGCGCTTATGACAAGCAAGATGCTTAGCGTGAGGTGTCTCGCATGCACGCTCTTGCCTTCGGCGACACCGTTACCCGTTGGCGTCACCACAGCTGCGCTCGTTTGTGTTGATGAAGCTGTAGTGAGCGGTGTGGATGCCGCGCTTGATTCAGACGTTGAAATAGATGCTTCTTGAGACGACGAAGATGTCGTGGTATCTGTCGTTACCGTCGCGATTGGCGGGGTAGTCTGGCTTTCAACGACAGACGTCACCTCGCTGATGCGCGAATAAATATCGGTCGTCCAAGACCTAGTCTTCCACGAGAGGACAGGGGAATTGGGAAAACTCGCAGGCCATGCCACGCCTGGCAGTGTCAGCGTGTCGCAGGCAACCTCCCAGGATGAGGGCTCCCTTGTGCCGTCGGTGAGACACATGAAGTGGTCACTGAACCCGTAGGGATTATTCGGATTGTCGGCATTCATCTCCGGACTGATTTGACAAAAGGTAGCGCACGAGACTGGGTAGGCTTCGTCGTTGGGCGACGTCGGGCTCGTGATGTTGTACACCCTGCCGGAGCAGCATTCCGCAAAGTGCGGGGCGCTGTTGCGGCCGACGGGCGGAGTCTTGCATATTATGCCGGCTATGGACTCCGGCCATTCGGAAAACGAGTTAGATGATAGCGTGTTGAAGGTCACATCGCCAGCACACCTCGGATGTATGCTCATGGTGGCTACTCGTGCGTTTTGAGCAAATTTGCAATGTTTTTGTTTGCCTCGGGAACACGCGCAAAGAAGTCAGAGATATGTAAGCTCAGTAATAAACAATGAAAGGCGCGAAAAGTGTGCAGAAGCTTGCTGACGCATCAGGGTGTGATGGCTAGGCTGCCGCTAGCTTGAATCTGGTATGTCGACTAGGGTGGCGATCGTCATGTCCTATCCTCCCGAGGGACTTTAGTGAAAGCGAACTTAATTGCGGGCTTCTGACAATGTCGTTTGGTTGAGTTCGGCATTTTTGAAGGGGAAAATTGAAAAACATCTAACACCGAGAGTACATAGGGTGCGCTCAAAAACATTTAAATACGGGTGGAAGTTCCGATACTCTCGAATACCTGAAAGACAGTATCTCTAGTTCTAGACGCGATTTCCTCAATCTCTTCGCTTGTACTAGTGTATGCAGGCGCAAGGAGGACATGATCGCCCAGAACACCATCTTTCGTTCCCATTCCTGGGTACAAGCTGATGCCGAAGTCGTTGAATCCAACAAGATGAGTTTTGTTCGCGATATCCTCACATCTTGGGAATGGTTCTTTGGTAATTCTGTCTATGACAAACTCGATCTACAGTAGAAACGCTTGTGAGTTTGCGCCTCAAGAAAGTGAAGGGTGAATTGGCTCTGATAGACTTACCCCCCAGAAGAGGCCTTTGCCTCGGATGTTACCAACATGAGGGTGGTCGTCTAGGTAGTACCGCAATCGCTTCTCAAGCAGAGCGCCCTGTTTTCGAACGTTTGCGACAAGATCCTCTTCCCGGATGATTCGCTGGACTTCGAGGGCAGCAGCGCATCCAACAGGATGGCCCTGATAAGTATGTCCGTGGGAAAATGAGCTGTATGGTGATTAGTCAACCTTGAAAAATAATTATGAAGGAGAAGTCTGTAGAGATCCTACCCGCTTCCGTTCTTGAGAGCATCAGCCACTCGGTGATTAATGAGCATACCAGCCATGGGCGCGTAACCGCCGCCGAGACCTTTAGCAAGTGTCTGGATATCAGGGATAACTCCTTCTTGTTGCCATGCATGCAGAGAACCGCAGCGGCCCATGCCGGACATGACCTCTTCGCCTGTGTTAGTGTTTGTCTGGTACAAAGTGGATTGGACGTGCCCCTTAAGCTCAATGTTCTTACCATCCAAGATAAGTAGGGCGCCATACTTGTCGCAGACCTTCTTAACGGCCTTGAAATATCCAGGCAGAGCTGGAATACAACCCAGAGTCTGTGGGAAAGATGATTAAAACGAGGTCATAACACTTAGTTGAGAGATTGGGGGACTACATGTACTTACTGCACCAACAACAGGCTCTGCGACAAATGCGCATACAGAATCGGGGCCAAGCTCTTGAAATTTCCGGTCCAGCTCATCGGCCAGTTGACTGACGTATTCCTGCTCGGTCTGACCGTCGCTCATACCGCGGTACGGGTTGCAAGCCGACACTCTGTATATGTTCGGAAGTAGCATATCGAGGAAGAGACTCCGCCTCGCGACATGCCCGCTCATTGACAGCGAACCAAGAGTTATACCATGGTATGATCCCTCTCTGGCAATGAAATTGATCCGCTTTGGCTGTTGTGGAGACAATTCCATGAAGTATTGTCGTGCCATCTTCATTGCTGATTCCATAGCCTCAGAGCCTAGGAGCGTTAGTCTCTAGTGTTTGTTATTATTTTCCCCCAAAGGGGCTGAAAGCATACCTGAGCACATGATGTACGCTTTCGACATGGCACCGCCCGTACCGTCAATGAGTTCGTCAGCAAGCTTCTCCCCAATCTCGTGGCCAAAGAACATGGAGTTGCAATAGGCAAACTTGTCAATTTGCTCAACCATGGCTTTCTTGACTCGTTCATTATTCGATCCTATGCACGCTACTGCTGCGCCACATGTCGAATCCAAGATGATTCGGCCATCAGAAAATGTTAAATGTTTGCCCTTTGCCGATACCACATGTGGCGGCGCGCTTTTCAGTGAGCGATGGAGGACTGCACTGGCAGATGAAACCCCGTTCACGACGGGGTTGAGTGTTGATACGAATCCGGGACCAAGCTTGGCGGCTGTCTTGGCGATCTTTTGCGACGCAGTGGCCATCTCAGAAGTATTTATCAGAGCCGGTCAAGTGGACAGAAACAATATATATGTAATAGTAGTACTCGAGGGTTTGAGCAGAGACACTAGAGCTCACAAGCTGGATGACCATCGGCAGGAGGTGGGTAGAGATATACCTAGTCCTAAGCATGTTACCTTGTATCGTTATCGCTGCTTTCCATCTGAACGCCGGTCAATACTGTATTGGAGACTGACTATCTGATACGGTATCATGTGGGCTCAAGGCGTATCTGCATGGCGTATCTGGCGTGTGTGGAGGCTTTGCATCGGCCTAAGGCGGGGTAAGGACCGGTTCCGATCTTGCTGGTCTCCCTAGATCCAGTCGTGAGCTTAAAGATTATTGGTTCAGCATCGCTTGCTGACCATGGTTCATACGTGGTCGCCGACCTGACGCTCAATGTAGCTAGCCTTTGTTTGTGCAATTCTATCGTATTAGTAGACTTATGTGGATGGTACCGATAACCGGCCCTAAGTCAAGAGAAGATGTTCCCCAGTCTCATCCAAGATGTCAGTCCAGTCTGCCTCATCCGTCAAACCTGAGTTTTGCCGCCTTTGCCATAACTCTTCGAGTATTATCAAAGAACGCGAAATGTTCTGGAATCGTCGTTTCTGCAACGTCATCTGCAACCGAACACGAACGGCATCCATGTGTTCGTCCTCAGTCGCCTCGCCGCCAGCAAGGAAGAGAGGAAAGAGAATTGCCGACTCGGTATGTGACCCGACCGGAATATCTGAGACGTGCCTCAGGATGTTAGACACCTGCGTCCGCATCTTCGTCTGTAGCATCTCCCATCTCGTGGCTTCAGAGCTTGCCCCTTGAGTGCACTCTTCCTCCGATCTCAGTCGGCTCCGTATCAGTCGGAATAGCACAATAATAACAGCGCTCCTGAATGCATGCGCCAGAGCAGCAAGTTCTGGAGCGGCATCTGGCCTACATCGCCAGTCTTGCAGCTCTTGCTGGACTCCTTCGCAGGTGGCATGAAACGACTCCTTTCTTCTGGCCATCTCCTCAGCCCCCAGAGTAACATTGAGTCTGGTCTCTTCATCGATGCTACTCAAAGTAGCTACATGGCGTAGAAGATCTGTGGCGACGCCTAGGTAGGTGTCAACAACATCTGTGATGCCATTCAGATAACTGCAGTCCAGCAGCGGCCTCCTCCGCATGGTCACACTCCCAATCATGTCATGATACGCAAAGTTTCGAAGAATCCACTGACCCTCAGAGCTCCGTTTGAAGACTTCAGGTCCTCGCAAGGTCGTCCCTGAGCTTGGATTGACCACGGCGGACTCGATGATGAGCTTGGCACCGTTGAGGTGGGCACACCACCCGTCGTTATCTCCCACGCATACCTCACCTATGACAAAGGCCAAGCATGTTGCTGCTTTGGTTTCGTACCATGTGATTTCATGCTGTGGTTTTGCGAGGGCTGTGGCGAGGTTGGTGATTGCTGCCGAGTGTGCTTCCAAGGCAGAAACCCGATATGACTCATTCGTGAGTGATAAGTGACCAGAAGCAAAAGCGACCAGTGCATCGTAAAGCACGCTCGACTCCATAGCCATTGGTAGGAACTCTGAAAGAGTCTTATTGTCAGTTGCAGCCCATCGAGACATATGAGAGTGCATCTGATTCATTCCGAGAGTGACGAACCAGATAGAAAAGAGTTGAACTGCTCGCTTGCAGTCAAGAAATGGCTCAGCACTGTAATGTAGTATCGCATTACTTGTCGCTTCTGAGGCGGTTCGGCCTGGTCTACGCCCGGCGGTGACGCAAGCAACGGAAAACATGACGAGAATGGTTGATGCGAGTTATCTCTCGTCGATGGCCGCAGCGCCTGAGTTGCCTGCGGTGTGCTCTTCTTCTGTTCGACCCAGGTAGTCGGAACTACATCGCGAGTCGTCGATCGCACGCATTTCAGATTCAGCCTGGAGCATGTTCCGCAGATGGGAAACGTGTTCTCGACGCACTTCTTCCTCCTGATGTTCCAAGAATACTTATCAGAATGAGAGGTCCCGCGACAGGGTTATCGGTGAGGTGGGCTTACCGATATCGGCAGGTTAGACATCCTGTTTTGTCGTGTTTGGAGCCCTTTCGTCGCCGCGTTTCTGATTGAAAATCTAAAGACATTATGGCCTCGGGTTGACCTTCCATTATAACAGTCAAGCAACGTTGCTATGATCCAACTCCGGCGTGTTGGGCGTAACAGACAACAAACACGTGGGGGGAATCTTGATGTCGAGAAGGAAAAAGAGGGACTCCTTCAGCGGTCCAAGCACGGTGAGTGGATTACGGGGAGAAACAACGGAAGTTTCCATGCAGTTATTACTGGGACACTTTCCTGATCAGTCCTAGCACCAATGTGTCGGTATGAATGTCTTTCCCCGCCACGGACGAGCGTCATCGGCCCCTCACTACGGAGTACATACATTTTCAGTCTTTGCGGGACTCCCTATTCGCTGATTCTATTGACAGACTTATCTCTTTTCTAATCTTATCTTATCAAAAGATCATGGTTCTTTCTCTGTCACTATCTTTAGTAGTCCGCCAATTGCCGGGGTGCATGACTCGAGCTAAGGGCTAGAGACCGGAACAGGTCGCCGGAATGAAATGCGGAAGGCTTCCCGTAGTTTCAGAGTCAACTCGACTCAAAGAGAACCTGACAACTCCAAAGCGAACAATCGCGCATCAGCCAGGGCGGCAACTCGGTGTGGCACCACGGATCGCTTGTACTCTTCGCTCGCGATTGTGTCTCTAAAGACTCCAATGTTCTCGTATCGCACAAGAGCCACTTCATCCCAATCATCGGTTTCCAGTCCTAGCACCTTGGCAGCCATTCTGCCTGAAAACGGGACACGAGTCCCGTTCATCGTCGGGAGAGCGAAAAAGGCGGGCACGTAGCGTTGTTGCCATGCCTCTCTACCGCTACACGCGGGTAGGGAGAGGATATCGGCGGGGGCAGTAGAGTCGTAAACAGCGACGGGATGGAATTTCAGGATGTTGAGCATGTACACTGGCTTGTTAGGATCGATGGAACCGATCGCATCTTCGACTGCCGATATATCCGTAAGCTCGGTGGCTGGCATTGTAGTATATAGACGTGAGTAGTTCCGAGTGATCGTACTCAAGTAGTTGTTTAGTGTGATCTGATTTGCTGGGATACAGCTGAAACTGAGATCGTGACTTCCCTCCGCCTTTTATACTTGCTGGTTGAAGGAGATGACGTATTGACCGCTCCATACCAGTTTATCTTAAGCTTCCTGATTCTAGTCGACAAATATTTGCAGTTGCGGATTGTCCAGCCGATTCTCCAGTCATTGGCCAACCTAAGCCTCAGCTGAGCCTGTCTCCTTGGCACACCACCGCGCTGCACTATTTGATGATTACACTTGAACAGTGGGACAGTCTGTCAACTACATTCTGTGTCAAATTGGCTCTTTCGCGTTTGTCAGCGATTGCATGTGATGAGAGGGCTTTTACGGCAGACATAGTCGAAGGAGGGGAGGTTATGTGGATGGTGCAGCAGGATCTAAACAGGTAGGCTGAGAGCATCGGGGAAGTACGTAATTTACCCGATCCGACTTACCAAGTACTTTGACTTGTATCCCCGGCTCTCTTTCGCTCTGGTCGGCTTCAAAGAAGCTAATCCGCAAACCCGGGTGCAACATAGTTCAACACATCTCTCTAATCCGCAAACCCGGGTGCAACATAGTTCAACACATCTCTCAAGACTGAGACATTTGCAGCCACGGCTCGATTGGACTGCGAGGGCCAACGAAAAAAACACCACAAACGCTTTTTCCTACTTGAGCGTAGTCTCAAATGCGCTTTCCGATTACAAACGTCCGCAAGACTCAAGATGATGTAGCCAAGGTTAATAGCGAAGCAGACTCATAAATTCCGAGAAGGATGCCTTGGCTGCCAAGTTCTGCATATTACATTAAACAACTGCTATGTGCCATCGATGCTTTCGATCTAGACTATCAGGTGATTAGAGTAAAAGCATCTTCTTGCAAAACTTACATAGGCAAGAACCGGGTAGGTCTCGGCGATGAGCCCTACTGTGATCAATTCCAGATAATTTGATTACTAGCCGCATCAAATCTTACTCTTTACAAACCAAACAGAGGAAACCCTATACCTATCCAGTACAAAATGAGATCTGTGTGCAACTGTTTAATCGATGGGATTGCGGAGCAGGGGGCTTAGGCGGCGAAGAGATGTGACAACTTTTCCGCATTGGCCTTTGGTGCTAGATACCTATCGTGTAACATTCGTTGTGGAGCACTTGGTCAAGAAATGAAAGCACATGTAGTTCAGTGGAATAAGTTTGATGGAAAAAGGCGCCCTTAGAACCGGGCAATGCCACAAGCGGAGGCCTGTGATGTTCTAGCCGAGTTTGGAGACTTACAGTCGGGCATCTGACAAACAACGTCCGGCGGCGCTTCTGACCATATATACATTCTAGTCTACCTACGTCACCGCCATGTGAGCCATCGTACTGCACGCAAGATACATAACATGTTCTCGGCACGTGTTGAGTAATCATTAGCATGAAGACATGCCGAACAGGAGCCGCCACATTACTGAATCCTAGTCAGTGATGGATTCCGGCCTTTTCCTGTAATCCGTCCTCACTAGCTCGCTCCTCTGATTTACAGGTGCTTTCAACAATCGACTTGCGGACAACATTTTCGGAATCCATGTGCATACCCACCAGCGCGATCAACTTATAGCATCATATCGAGAGGATCCGCTATGCCGCTTCTCGATTCCGCATATGCTGGCTACACCATCGCCGCGCTTTGCATTGTCTTCTCTGCTCTTGTTGGTAAGGAATGATTCTCATCCGTTTGGATGAGGTGTTTCTACCGACTCAAAATATGCTGATGGGTTTGCGCATAGGTTCTTCTCAGAGGATTGACTTGCTCAATTACTCACGTACCTGGCCCGTGGCATACCCGCTTCGTCAACTATGCTCTCAAGTATCATGTTCTCGCAGGTCAGCGGATGCACTACGTACACTCTCTTCACCTGAAGTATGGATCATTTGTACGGATCTCGCCAACCGAAGTTGCAATTGCAGACCCCGACTCGTTTAATGCAATCCACAAGATTGGATCTGGCTTCACCAAAGGGCCATGGTACTCAGATGTCACGGCTGGGCGCGAGCCGGGTATCGTTTTCATGACCGATCCCAAGGAGCATGCTTTGAGGCGTAGGCTGCTTGCCAGAGCATTTACGACCAACTCGTTGCGTGAGAACTGGGAGCCAGTTGTTCGAGAGAAGGTCGAAGTGGCCGTCAGCCATATTCGCGCGGATGCTTTGAAGGGCAATGCCGATATTCTAAAGTGGTGGATGCTCATGACGACGGACGTTATTGCCCACTTGTCTTTCGGCGAGTCATTCAAGGCACTCGAACTCGGCGAGGTTTGTTTCTCAACTCTTGTCTGGCTGTGACGCTAAATTTCATCAGAAAAGCCCCTACATCCACGCCTTGGAAACGCTCTTCACAGCTTCAATGTTTCGGCGCGAGGTGCCTTTTCTATTCTACCTCGCCCAATACCTACCCTTTCAGTACCCTAAGCAGCTTGCGAACGCAGGGCGAATCATCGGCGAACATGCCAGTATGGCCACAAGTAACCACCAAGGCAAAGGACATTCTGCAAACCTGTTTAGTAACATGCAAGCTGCATGTGAGGAAAAGATCGAGTATAACCTGACCCCGGAAAAGTTGAAATCAGAGGCGACGAACCTCATTGTGGCAGGCTCTGATACCACCTCAATCACTCTCACTTACCTCATCTGGGCGGTGCTCAAGAAACCTGCCCTCCATGAAAGTCTTCAAGCGGAGCTTGACAACCTAAGAGATGATGAACTCAACGACACTACTCTCGAGAGACTACCGCTTCTCAATGCCATTATCGAAGAGACGTTGCGCATGTACGGGGCGGTGGCAGGCAACCTGCCTAGGTCTGTACCTCCGTGTGGTGTGACGCTTGGTGAATTCTTCATTCCTGGCGGCACGGTTGTAGAGACGCAAGCGTACACCCTTCACCGTGACCCCAATGTCTTTCCAGACCCTGAGACGTAAGATACTTGGCCTATGCCGTGAACTGATCAAGCTAGCAAATCAAGCTGATTCCTGCGCAGATTTAATGAGACTCGGTTTCTTAATGAGGGACTGACAAAAGTGCAGAGGCGATCATTGGCTCCTTGGGGAGCCGGGACTCGGGTTTGTATCGGAGCACACTTGGCTCGCATGGAGCTACGGCTCGCCGTTGCAGTATTCTTCCGCAAATGTCGAGACATAAGACTAGCTGAAAGCATGACCGATGATCTGATGGATATGCGCAATGTTTGGCTAATTAGTCCTGTCGGTCATCGTTGTGATGTCACACTCAAATAAAGTCATGATGCATGCTTACATTAGTTTGTAGCCATCGACGTGACTTTGGTGAATGTTTCTGCAGAGAGATCTTCGGTATTAATCGAATTTTATTACTAGAGAGCATTAGAAATTCTTCGATATGAATAGTATCTGATACCAGATGACATCAATCGTCACTGCCTAAGGTTCAAGTCACAGGTTGCGCTACGGGAGGGTTCCCTTAGCCCAAGATTTATTGCATAGAGTCTTGACTTTGAGTTCGTTCCGTAATCAATCATGACTTATATCATACCTAGAACAAAATTGCCTTCTTTCTGACACTCATAAATGTGCACCAAATTCCCAACCCATGATGTATGCGCCAGTCACTTAAGCACGCCTGCCATTATCCTCAACCATCGTCACATGCGACACAACTTTGTCTTCCTCGTGCTGCAATTGCTCCTGAACATCATGCCTGACCTTTTCATCCTCGGTCGGGTAGGCACGCTTGAACATGGTCCAGAGTGAGTGAGCAAAGAGATCGTCCATGGATTCTATGCTTCGGCCCTTGAGCTCGGGCAGACAGAAAAAGACGAATATGGCCCCAATGTACGTCATGATGGAGAAGAATAAGAACGTGCCGTAATTCATGGTACTCAGCATGTGTGGTGTGGCGGAGGTGATACCATAGTTGACGATCCAGTTTGTGAAGAGGCAGCAGGACATGCAGACCGATCGAACTCGTGCGGGGAAGATCTCAGCGGCTACGACGTATGGTGCTACCGAGTGCCCGAAAGACCAGCCGAAGGCGTAGAGATAAATCCTAGCCTCGAATTAGACAGAAATCTCTTTGAGTGTGTGCGCTTCAAGAAACTTACATGATAATGCCCACAATGCCACCCGGAGTCGTTCCGCTTCCAGGCTGAACATCAGAAAAGCGGAGGAAGAGACCGATGTAGAGCATAGCTGTAGCCTGAATTGTTGCTCCGATCATGAGTGGAAGACGACGTCCAACACGATCAACAATGACAGTAACGTAGATGATGGTCGTTGCAAGCTTGACAACCCCGTAGACTCCAGTCGTCAAAAGAGAACTCGAGCCTTTAGGTACTCCAATCATGGCGAAGATTTGGGGCGCAAAGTAGTTCAGAGAATCAGTGCCTAAAGTTGCACACTGTCAGCTTACCCGCACACTATGATCCGAAGGGTAGCTGGGCTGGTCCTACCTGTGAGCTTGTGGAATAGGAATAGCATGACGGCAAGGAAAAGTCTCCGCCGATTGCTGGCGTTGGTGACGATGTCTTTCACAACCACCACATAGCCATGGCCTAAGAGTATGGGTCAACTTTGTTCTTGGGCATGTGTGTCTCCATGTGCTGTCTCTTGACATACCCTTTGCTTGGCTTTGCTCGGCTTCCGACTGGGCCAGAATCTCCAGATACTCTTGGTGTACGTATGGGTGCTCGGCGGGCAGGCCTCTCAGCTTGCACAGATTCTTAAGCCCACGCTCTTGTTTGCCTTTCGAAATGAGTGCCCGTGGGGTCTCGACGACGACTATATGGATGGTCACGTTAGTCTGTTTGGTCCAAATTGTGAGGTGCTATGGTATCGCGATGACTTACACCAGATAAGAGTGAAGAGGAAGAAGCCTGGAATCAACTGGATGCCAAGAGCCAACTGCCAAGCCTTGTTGTTGTCGGGGTCCTGATTGGGCCAAAGGCTGACTGCGTAGTTAACCCAAAAGGCGATAGCAAGTGCCAAGATGATCATCAAGTTGTAGGATGTAGTAAGGGACCCTCTGATTGACTTTGGGGAGTTCTCTGCCAAGTACTGGGGAGCCAACTGAAAGTTGCGCATTAGCCTCATCGCCGAAGTCTCGATAGCGTTCAGTGTAACAAGAGTACTCACCATTGAGGTCGCTCCGATGACCACACCAGCTAGGAGTCTTCCAGCGTAAAGAACATCCAGGTTGGGAACTTCCTGCATGGAGCAGCCTACAAGAAATAGAGCGGCCATTGATGTGACGGCTTTCTTCCTGCCAAGGAAATCGGAAAGAGGCGCTGCTAGTAAAGCACCGGCAGTACCACCGGCAGCGACTGAAGATACCCTGTTAGAGGTGATGTGTAAATCAGGTATCGATTGAGGTTTACTTACGCATGGCTGCTATATTGCCCTCTGTATTGTGTTTCCGTCAGCAGTAGTTCCAACAAACAAGAAAAACAGAGTGATAAGTGGGCACGGCTTTACCTCTTGTGTTTGCTTCTTCTTCGCTTATTGTATCGAACCCAAAGGCACGCCGGAAGGACGGAAACGTCATGATGCCCCCAATATTTCCCTGGTCAAAACCGTATGAACATCCCGCAAAGGCTATCGTGATGCCCAACAGCAGAAGCTTAGAGTTGAAGATCTCCTTTGGATCCTTCTTCCAGTCGGGCGAAGCCCATAGTGATGTTCCACCACCCATTGTCGAAGAGAGTATTCCGGCGAAGGTCGATAGGGGTTGAGTATCGTGTTGCAAGAAGCTGAGTTCGGCGGGCCAGAAACTCTGTACTGTCGGCTCTCTCTTGGTTTTAGATCAAGTTAACAAGAAGGTTGCAACTGTATCATATACCCGGATAAACTGACTCGACCCTGGTGCCAATTCACGAACTGGCCCTAGCACTCACCTTCCCCCATGGGGAGCAGTTCCAAGAGCCGAATTACCCCGCGTAATCCACAGCATTTCTCGAGCCATGGATGCATGGGGGTGTCTATTGGGAAATCAACCAATACAATTATCGGGGAGAAGACCGTAGTCATGAGGTGTCATCAGGTTGCATCGTGTTGCTATTTGACAGTGATTGATCGTCGCCTGTTCAATCTCTGAGTTGCCCCGTTTTCAGGAAGACCGACAATACCCTAAGCTGCCTTTCTCGTGGCCATGAGCGTTGTTTCGTTACCCTTGGACGGAATAGGAAACTCGGAGACTTGTCCTAGCCCAGAACTCTCCAAACGCCTGTGACACGGAGCATGGACGGGGGCTTCCCGGGAGGCTATGAATTGCGGGGCCGGAAATCTCGCCGGCGGGCTAACGCGGTTGATTGCGGGGAAGGGTGGGAGGAGTGGTGCATGTCGAGGGCGTACTTGGCAAACGTGGTTCGACTCAAGACATACATGTAGACTGAACCTGGCTCTACAGGGTGATAATACCAGACTTGATGGCTGGATCGATACTAGACAACCTACCAGCTCGGACACTCTTCGGTCAGCTCTCTATTATTGGGTTAGACACACTCCAATCTCCCAAACTCTTGCCAAAGCACTCGCACAACTAGACCTACCATGTCCCCGAACCTGCAGACTGCTGCCATCCCCGCGGCAACGGTTCAGTCCCATGCATCCAACCTACTCCAACTACCCGACAAGACCCTACTCTGCGCCTGGTTCGGGGGCTCCCAAGAAGGCCTCCCGGATATTAGCATCTGGCTATCTCGTCAAGAGCCAGGCACAACTTCCTGGTCGACACCTCAGAAGATATCTTCTGACACCAACCGCAGCTGCCAGAACCCGGTGCTTTTCCGAGCACCCAAGACGGGAGATATCTGGCTCTTCCACACCTCTCAAGATGCGGGTAACCAAGATGGGGCCATCGTAATGGCCCGCACGTCAAGCGACAATGGCAAGACGTGGTCATCGCCCCGATATCCCCTGAAAGGTGTTACCGGTGCCTTTGTGCGCCAACCTCTCGTCGTTCTCGGAGATGATACTTGGGTCCTTCCAGTTTTCCACTGCCGGTCAACACCAGGTCAGAGGTGGATTGGGAACAATGATATCTCTGCAGTGTTCTACTCCAAAGACGAGGGTCAAACATGGATAGAGAATGTGGTGCCTGATAGCATTGGCTCTGTTCATATGAATATCATTGCACCAAAGAGCCAAGGTTCCGAATATGTAGCGTTCTTTCGAAGTCGGTGGGCAGACAATGTCTACCGTTCAACATCGCCAGATGGCCTGAACTGGGCTGCTCCCAAGCCGACATCTCTTCCGAATCCCAACAGCGGCATCTGCGCCGCACGGCTAGCATCAGGTAACCTGGCCATCGTGTTCAACCGCTCCTCCGCCGAGCCTGACATGGCCAAGCGAGAGGGCCTGTATGACGACATCACACCCGAAGATGACAAGAGACCAAATCAAGCTTCGGTAAATGGCAAGAATGCAATTTGGGGAACCCCGCGGAAAACGCTTACGGTTGCTGTGTCTGGCGACGATGGACTGACATGGAAGGAGAAGGTCCTTGAGGAAGGCGATGGCTTTTGCATGACGAACAATTCCATCGAGAAGACAAATCGGGAGTTGAGCTATCCTAGCATCTTTGTTGAGAAGGGAAGTGTGCATGTTGCTTTTACATTCCATCGCCAGTATATCAAGTATGTTAGAATAAGCGATATAGAGGGTTGGGTAGATCAGGCATAGCTCCAAACCCATTCTCAAAACAGACCCGCTAAGGCCTAAGGGTGGCTTTGAAAATCACGATCGTTATGCTTAGTGATTAATGACTGCACTTCAAACTTTGCGGAGGATTCGTCTCAACTTATTCACCTCTAAAAGGACAACCTGGAAAACATAATGGAGTTAATACTTCTTGACTTGCCAAACGACATTGAACATGGGTTACTCAATACTCGTCACTGTAGCGAACGCATGCTGGACGATCTTAGTTGAGGTAGTAGTCCGTCGAAGTCAACAAAGTCTAATCAATGATATATTGCTGAAGCGACTATTTGCTCCACGACCTTTGCTTTTCCGTCTCTCCCAATACACCAAGTGTTTCTAGAGCCCATTTCTTAGTTGCGTCGCCGAGTGGAAGATACGGCCGCCTCATCTCCCACGATGACTCATCGGTGAGCCCGATATCGCGACCAAAGAAGTGCCAGGCGCCGTATTTTGTCAAGGCAATACCCTTCTTACAAGCCCATTCCGCGTTTGCTACATCATACTGCAGTTTCAGGGACTCGTCAGCCTTCCCAGCCTTCCACAGGTCATACACTGCTGACGTTGAACCGGGAAAGATGTTTCCCATGCCCGTTACGCAGCCACTTCCTCCAGCCTGTAGCGTTGGAAGAAGGTAGTCGCTGCTGCCACCAAAAACACCAAATTGCTCATGTGTAAACTTGCTGGTCAAACGAGTCACCTTGCCGACGTTACCGCAGGTCAGCTTCACAGCCACGATATTGGGATGCGACGCGAGAGCAGTGATCTGGTCGGAATCGAGATCTACGCCGGACGTGACGCCAGGAAAATTGTAGATGACAATCGGAATGGGAGAGTTATCCGCAACATCTCGATAGAATCCCAATATCGCGTCACTTGATAGGGCTTTAGCCCAGTAGCTGGGCGGGAGCAACAGTCCAAAGCTTGCGCCCGCTGCGCCGGCATCTTTGGCGTTGAGAATGGCTTCGCGGGTAGATTCTGCGGATATGCCAGCTACAATAGGGTAGTCAGGCTTTCCAAGGTCTTTGACAGCGCGCACCGCTGTTTGGAGAATAGTCTTGCGCTCGTCTGCTGTCAGAAGAACGAGTTCGCCGTTGGTTCCGAGGTAGACGAGACCGTGCATACCAGCGCGAACTAAGGCCTGGCATTGCTTGTAAAGTGCGTCATGGTCTACAGGTTGCAGAGGATCGCCGGCTTTGTAAATTGTGACGACGGGGGTGTAAACCCCTGGTGGGAGGGGCTTTGACTTGGGTGCGATGGTGCTCGAAGGCATTGTGAAGGTCTTCTTAGGCAAGCCAAGGTAAGAATAATGCAACAGAAGCCAGGCCCAGCAGGAATATAATATCGGTGATCTGAGGGCGTAATTGAGGGCGAGGACTGGGATGCAAACAGCTTCACTCTTGGTCGAGAAAATCAACCCCTCCTAATATTCGACTCCAATTCTGAGATGCGGAGACAATTGCGGAGAGACCTTCTCGGCGAGCTTATGGCGAAGTATCACATCCCACACGGCTTCTGCTCCGATCACGCAACCAGCTCGCTCTTTCCTACTTGCATGGAGAACCTTGATCCAGTGGACCAGTAGTAGCGAACATGTTTGAGGATTCGTAGGAAGCCATGTGGTTCCGAGCAAGAATCAAATCCTCCCGGCGATGGTCGCTTACCCGCTATCCACATCGGCGAGAATGCCGAAACATGGGGAACGAGCGTGCGGAGCTTACAGGGGGGGCAAAGCATCGGCCGGAATGACGGGGATGTCGCGATCTGTGAGGCGATCCGAGATGCCATTGATTAGGTCTCAGACAAACGCGGTGTAGGGGTCAATAGGGTTTGACGGTGGCTGTGGCAACTTTGGGGAATGGTAAATGGGATCTAAACATTAGGCTACACCATTCTTCGACGTACTTGACCAAACACCCTCTCGCAAAAGAAATCTCACGCGCCTTATTACTAGTAGACTTTCGGAATGTGCTTGTGAACCGGCGAGGAGCGAGTCCGGACGCCAGCAATTGTCGAAACACAATGACGACAAAGCCAGAAGAGAGTGAGAGAGCCACGATAAGTGTGACTGATCTCAGCAAGCACAACACCAAGTCGGATTGCTGGATAGCTGTACACTCCAAAGTCTGGGATATCACAGACTTCATCAACGAGCATCCGGGAGGTCCATTAGGTGAGTCTGGCACAGCCTCCTAGTCTAGTTCTTTGGGAAACTGACGAATGCGCACTTGTCAGTTCTTCTCAAGTGCGCTGGCTCAAATGCCACAAAGATATTCGATGAAGTTCACGCACCAGATATCCTGGAGGAGCTACCAGACGAGAAGTTCATCGGCCTACTGAAAGATGCCACTCCAGACGTGCCTGCAGCAGCATCGCAGCCAGAGAGTTTAACTGGCACATTATCTGCCCCCGCCGAGACTTCGAAGCCCTCCTCTGCCGAAGAAGACACCATCCCGCCTCTAGAGTCCATCGTCGGTGCGCCAGATCTAGAAGTTGTGGCCTCGAAAGCGCTCACGCCAAAGACATGGGCATTCTACTCATCTGCGGCTACCGATCTGATCACACACCGAAACAATAAGCAACTCACAAGAAGAATCATGATCCGACCAAGGATTCTAAGAAATGTCTCGCATATTGATATGAAGACGAACATTCTTGGATTCGAAAGCTCGGCCCCATTCTTCATCTCGCCTGCCGCGATGGCAAAGCTTGTGCATCCAGATGGCGAGCTGGCTCTCAGTCGCGGCGCAGCAAACGAAGGAATTATTCAATGTGTGAGTAACCAAGAAAAACCAGCCGATAGGCGCAGCAGTTGACCTTGGGCATCAGATTTCGAGCAATGCATCCTACACCCTCAAGTCTATCGTATCCGCCGCCCCGCCGTCACAGCCCTTCTTCTTCCAGCTCTACATCAACTCAGAACGTCACAAGACGATCGAGATCCTCCGATCGGCACGTGCACTCGGCATAAAAGCAATTTTCGTGACCGTCGATGCCCCGGTCCCTGGGAAGAGAGAGGCAGACGAGCGTGCAGCTCAAGCAGGAACGATCCGAGCAGCCATCAGTGGCGCTGAGAGCAGCAAGGACAAGAAGGGCAGCGGACTCGGCCGCTTAATGGCACAATACATCGACAAGTCAATTACTTGGGAGGACCTAACCTGGATCAGAGAGGCTAGCGGAGTACCAATCGTCCTTAAGGGTGTTCAAACTGCCGATGATGTCAGGTTAGCGGTTGAGTATGGGGTTGAAGCAGTTTTCTTGAGCAACCATGGTGGTCGATCTCTGGATGGGTATGTTTTGAATCTCGAGTCATCACTGGCAATTGACAGACACGCTGACAATGGTTGAACAAAAGATCGCAAGCCTCTATCCTAGTTCTGCTAGAGCTCCGAGAACAGTGTCCCGAAATTTTCGAGAAGCTCGAAGTCTACATCGATGGCGGTTTCGAGCGCGGCTCGGATATCCTTAAGGCAATCGCCCTCGGAGCTACAGCTGTGGGCGTCGGGCGACCGTTCTTGTACTCTCTCGTGTATGGTCAAGATGGTGTAGAGCATCTCTCTCAAAGTAAGTCCTCGTTACTTGTCATCCGATTTATTAGGGTGAAAGCTGATCATTGAACGCGCATTAGTTCTGAAAGACGAGTTGGAGACTTCGATGAGACTTTGTGGCATCACCAGCCTCAGTCAAGCTACCCCCGCGATGGTGAACACACTAGATATTGACCATTTGGTGGTTTCTGAGAATAGAGCCCGGCAAAAGAAGCCTGTGAGAAGGCCAAAGTCAAAGCTCTAGGCTGTGAATAGGCCCGCATAGATACCATGGCAATGATACATCAGTCCTCTCATGATCACAACCGTAAAATGCGAATGGTAGCGAGATGTTGAGGGAATTGAGGATTGGGTCGATGTACCTTGAGACCACTGCGGCAAGTCGAGCAAATCATGACACTTCTTATGTCTTCGAAGCGAATGGCATGATACATGTAAGTACTCAACGTATTGTAAGCACTTTGCCAATGACCAGGATAGCCGATAGAGCCGCACACGAGCATCATTTGGAGTAGACTTGAGAAAGCAGTGGTGAATTGCATGATTATGAGGCTAGTCACTCTATGGGGGGAGATCATGCCTTAAGAGTCTTCGCAAATGCCTCAACGGCCTCTAAAATCGTACCATCGGGTTCCAAACCCAAGCCATACGCCCTGCTCACATCAAACCGAGCAGCCCATGTCTCCACAATAGCCAAGATGGCGGCATCCTTCTTTTCTTCGATGAGTGCTAGCGATTCTTTGCCACCAACCTTCTCCACCGCATCAAGAATCTCCTGCACCGTGACGGTGATACCAGGTAAGTTGACGACCCTCGATTCCCCAAACTTCTCTTTTGGCACATCCTTGACCTTGACAAGGTTCTTCACCACCGTAGCGGGGCTACAGACCCAGACTTCGAGATCACGGCTCACAGGCAATACATTCTTGATGCCCTTCAGAGTCTCACGAACAATACCTGACGCGAAACTCGATGCCGCAGCAGAAGGCGCGCCAGGTCGCACTGTGACTGTAGGAAGTCGCACAATGCGGCCGTCGATGAGCCCACGCCGCGAAAAGTCCTCCACTAGCAACTCGATAATAAGCTTCTCGGTGCCGTACGATGTCCGCGGCTTCGGCACAGTTTCGCTCTCGATAACAGGCTGGCGCGGGCCGTAGACTGCGCACGAACTAGTAAAGACGACCGTGGTGCCAGGGTAATTATTCCGGAGGTAGTCGAGGACGGCACGGACGGAATCGAGGTTGACTTTGAGGCCCAGGTCGAGGTTCGCTTCCGCCCCGCCGGACATGAGGCCGTGCAGGAGGTAGACAGCTGAGAACTGCTTCGAGAGCAAAGAGCTCACTGCCGCCGGGTCGGTGAGGTCGGCTTTCAGAGAATTGATCTTGCTGCTTTCTCCTGCCACGTCGGCGGGGATTGGGGGCTCGATTACATCTGTGATTGTGAGGGTTGCTGAGGGGTTGGATTTGATGAGGGCGGACACCAGGGCCTGGCCAACGAAGCCTGCGGCGCCAGTTACGAGGACCTCGTTTGACATTTTGGCTCAACTTTTGGTATGCAGCTCTCTAGACAAGCTCTTGTGAAAGCAAAGTTCTACAGCCAGGAAATCTTCACGCGTCTTTTCACAAAAGAGACGCGATCGCGTGCCCCTCGGCTTTAACTGATCCGATCTCGCTGTGCCGTCATGAGGGGTACAGTTTGCACGCATGGTCACGTTGTCGGAGCTTCTCCTCATACCTCTGTCGCCTGCACATTTACCGAGCATATCCGGCGACTGAGGGACGGATACGCTGGCACACGCGAAGTTCAGACGTCAGGACATGTAGGTCGGACAGGTCGCCGATGCAGGTCGTCTAATCCGGGCATCGGTGAGTATGCCGATCATCCCACCGGTGGATCTCTGTCCGGGAGCTTCCCCGCACTGCGTAAGAGGGGCATCGCGCAGTCGGAGGTGGTGGGGGTGGTGAGGTATCCCGGCGACAGAGCTGAAAGCCGATGAAGTGATGCCGAAGAGCGAGGTAAAATGACGTGACGGTACAAAACAAAACCTCGGGCTCTGTATGAATTGGATGACAAGCTATAGAGCGCCAATTGTAAGCGCAATCAAGCTTAATCAGACCGAATTGATAGACTTACTTGTCTGAAGACGATTTTGGGTCAATATCATGGAATACGTGAGGTTAGTACTGCGATAATCCCGGGCACAATCGTTCTCGCGTTGTCATGCAATTGCCCATCTTCACTAGAACGAAATGCCACAAGCATTGTGGCTATCTTTCAAAACGCTGATAGTCATCACGTAGACTCGGCAACACAGGCCTCAAGGTCTCCAAAATCATCCTCGGGTGCATGACTTTTGGCTCTTCCAAATGGGAGGGTTCACCATGGGTCCTCGATGAAGAGGAAGGACTCCAGATCCTGAAGGCAGCTTATGATAACGGCATCAACACTTGGGACACGGCAGACACATACTCAAACGGAAAGTCCGAGGTAATCATTGGCAAGGCTCTGAAGAAGTTCAATATTCCGCGCCAAAAAGTCGTCATCCTCTCAAAGATCTTCAACCCCGTTCCCGACGACGACTCCAGGCCCGCCAGCGTCAATGATGGTCCTCTAGTAAACCAGATGGGTCTGAGCAGGAAACATGTCTTCCATGCTGTTGACCAGTGCCTCGAACGTCTTGGCACGGATTACATCGGTAAGACTACTACGAGTAACGCAACGAGAATCGAGGGGCTGGCAGCTAATATTTCGTAGATGTTCTCCAGATCCACCGCCTCGATCGCGAAACACCTCCCGAAGAAATCATGCGAGCCCTCCACGACGTCGTCCAGTCCGGTAAAGTCCGTTATATTGGTGCCTCATCCATGTATACATGGGAGTTTGCCCGCTTGCAGTACATCGCCCGGTCCAACGGCTGGACAGAGTTCGTCTCGATGCAACCGTTCTACAACCTTCTCTACCGCGAAGAGGAGCGAGAAATGCTACCATTTTGCCGAGCAAGCGGTGTCGGTGTGATCCCATGGTCACCGATTGCTCGCGGACTGCTGGCAAAGCCCCTCGCCAAAGAGAACGATGAAGGAACCTCGCTACGCAGTCAGACAGATAAGAAGACGCAGGCATGGTTTGCGGATGCGAACCTGGATATAGTAAACCGCGTCGAGGAGATTGCGAAGAAGAAGGGTGTGAGCATGGCTCTCATATCAACTGCGTGGGTGCTACAGCAGGGATGTTGGCCGATCGTTGGCTTGAGTTCCGAGAAGAGGATCAAAGAGACGATAGGGGCGCTCAAGGTGAAGTTGACAGAGGAGGAACTGGAATATCTGGAGAGCGAGTACCGACCCAGGAATATTCAGGGTATGTAGATAATTATAAACCTACGAATGGGAGGCTTTAAGAAGCAAGGGATAGCTACAAAGTCCGTTTTCGTTGGTGATCATGAACCAGGTCTTCCCATCTGATACTCCACGTTTGCAAAATCTTGGCCACCAATTGTTGCACCATCCGCGTTTAACGAAGTCATGTCGAACTGGAATACTGGGGAAAGACCGAAACTCATGTCATAGTCAAAGAAGAACTCTCCTTCCGGGCCCATGAGAGTCCCATCGGCGCTACCACCAGCGAGTTGGGGATCGATGACTTGTGACTGGTCTCCGTTGACCGGTTGCGTATCCAATACCTGCGTTGATGTATCTCCACGGCCAGACTTCAACGTCCTAGCCATGCGCTCGAGACCAGGCGCCATGAGATTGGCTAGATGCCACCGCCCAGCTGGTAGAGATCGGAAGTGCCGCACGAGGCTCGTGGTAAGGTTCCAGACGCGGTCCGGCTCGATCAAGTCGCCGCCATACTTGACTGCCACCTTAATGAGGAACATGCAGGCAAAGGCTGTCATGCAGTGCAGGTACGAGGGCATGCCCACTACCCCTGCGGCGACATCCGGATCGGTAATGATGAAGTCGATGGTTGATGTCGCTACCGAGATAGCCGTTGCGGCGCAGTCGAGGAAGTGGTGCGGTATCGGGCTGTCTCCAGAGAGGCCCCGGAAGATGTGAGAATAGAGATGGAGTTTGGCGAAGTGGAAGTGTAGGAGAGCGCCTTTGCGAGGGAAGCGGCCTATGTGTTGGTATTGTTCTATACGCGGATTAGTACAACCATCGTCAGAATATTGAGCAAAGGACCAACGCACCTGACAGCGTTTCAGACCAATGTTTGATCCAGTGGTCGAGCTCCTTATTGAAGTGAGTGATTTGGTGGACGTAGGCTCGTGGCGTCGGTTGACCCTTGTCGGGCCCGAATAGCTCTCGTATGCTACCGATAATGCCCAGGAGGGCAACTTGACTTGCGAGACGCTTGTCCTCCTCCGTCGATATCGGTGATTGAAGAAAACTTTCCCATTGTTGCATGGAGGAGTCCTCCTGCACGATCGCCGGCCGCCCATACAAGGTGGCAAGATGTTGGTCGCAAATGTTCAATATGTACCACAGCCGTGCCCCATCTGCAGCCTCCTCGCTCTTCTCTTGTATGGCGCGGGTATAGCTGTTGTGTAGATTACATTCCGCCGCTCTCCTGATCGCATACCCAGACAACATCCAAGACATGTCAGAGAGCCAGTACGACGCGACACACATGGCGCGGAGGTAGTCACGGTTCACTCGCCGATCAAACATTGATCTCTCTGTGAGCCGCCTGAACTCAGAGCTGCAGATACCGTACAGGCTGTTTGCTTGTGGATCATGCAGCGCGGCAACAGTCAGGGTCGCCGCAGCCAGTATAGGGCTTTTGCGACGCAACTCATCCAGCTGCTGGTACTTGCACCCCACACCATACATGAAAGCATCGAGACGGTCTCGGTAGAGACGGAAAAGGCGTTCGGCATCGTCTAGGCGCAAGGCACCTCGGGCAATGAAGTCATCTTGGGCCGGACTGGAATGGCCCTCCGGGGCGTCTGGCGACCTGAGCGCCCTCAGCTTTGTGAGAGCGTAGAGCGAGTGGATCGGCACGTGGGGGAGGTTTTCGTCTTCTGGGGATATCTTGGGGGAGTTGTCGCACGAGGGGCCGTGGTTGTCCTGCCCGGCTACACCGAAACGGGTTGCGTTGGCAGCCAGCCCGGGGCCAGACCGGCTCTGCTGTGATGGGGACTCAGCTGCTTTCTGAAGTGTTGAACTCTGAAGTGCCGCTGGCTCAGGTAGCCCCATCTTCTTGGTGACTTCTCTCAACGTATTGTGCAGGTTCTCGATGTCTTGTAAGACTGCTTCGTTGTACCTTTAAATGGTAAGTCGACTCAACGCCTCGTCTCTCTTTAGGTCTTTGCTGGGGTCTTACTGTGTCTTCTCGTCGATGATGCTCTGCAGGTTCTTGCCCAAAACACAACCCAGATTTCTTTCGGAACATCGCCGACATGGTGGTCCGCTCTCGTCCATTAGACATTTGATCTTGGAGCTGGGTTAGACTTGAGACTCTTTCAGTCCTTCGATCCAGATCGTGATCGCCTTTACGTACCTTGTGCTTTCTACAGGCTGCACACGCCTTGATCTTTCGGGAAATTTGCGGAAAAGACTGCTCCCCGTTGCCGGCCGTCATCAACTACACAAGTCTAAAGTATCAGTGTGTGATGTGCAAACTCTAGACAACAACTGTTTATCCTACCGTCATAAACTCCATGTTGTCATTAGCATCAGACCATGTTCTCTTCGCCATGGTGGAAACCTCGAGCCTCCGAATGAGGCTGGCTGTAGAATCTCGCACTCAAACCTCGCTTGGATAGTTGGAGTCGTCGGCCGTGAGGAGGATGAAAAGAGGAGAAGTTCGGCTCCAAAACACGCAATGGCCCGCGCGAGTCGACCGCGTGGTCGGCACTTGTGTGGAGAAAAGAACAGGGGGCCAACGCCGTCGAGACTCAAGGGGGTGAGATCGAATGGCTTCCTTCCCCCGACAGCTTAGAAAGCAGTTGGAGATGATTGAAGGCTCGGAGTTGACCCCGCTTCCCCGCATAAAGCTGGGATCCGCCTCCCAATGTTGTCCATCTTTGCGAGGTTACATCCAATTCAACCTCATTTACAACTGAGCCTAACATTACTTCTTTCAGACTGCGATCTGAACATAGGGAAATGAATTATGTAATGCAATCAGCTTTCAACCGAGTTATAAGATAGGCAGGAACTATCATTTCCTCTGTGCGAAGCTCGTCATGAACTTGTCTCAGTGGAACACCGACGGAGGTCACCCAGAGACCCAGCCATATCTCCCATCTTGTTGAAGAGGTTTCTTCAAGAACAGATGGATGCATCAATTTGAAATCAATGTCTACTCGCATCGCGGACAATTTCGGCCAATACATTGAGTTCATCTATGGTTGTTGGGCTGGAAGCCGACGGTTCTCGTTCATCTTCAAGGAGACAACGAACAAGCTTTGAGGGGCTGAAACACTACGACGATAGATACCCCTATTGTTGGTCGGCTTATGGGGAGGCAATCCAGAATCAAGAACAAAAGAAGCTTTTCCTAGTCGCTCGGCCATGAACTAATGTTGCCCAATGGCAGCATTGGACTGGCCCATGTCGACTTCCCAAGCCTTGCCACGAACTTGGTTGATAGCAGCAGGACTGGGCTGCCCACCCCAAAATCACAAGGTTAGAATTGCACTCCGCGGCATTAGCCTGGAGGTAGACTTTCCTCAGAGAGCTGTTCCCTGCTGCCGAAGGATTGGGAAGATGAACGACGCGTCGTCTCAACATCGAAAGCTTCCATCTCTTGGCTGCCATGTCTCCAATCTTCTTCTTTATTGTCCACAAAGAGCCCAGAAGGGGGCTGGGTGTCTGGAGTTT